TTCATCAGAGAATAGAGGCTGTAGTCGATCCACTCCTGGCAGACAACCAGTTTGGTTTCCGAAAAGGACGGTCAACTCTGGCTGCGATCAAATTGGTTGTTGATACAGCCAAGAATGCAAATGCTGGAACGAGATGGAAGAGTGGAAAGAAGAAATACTGCTTGGTGGCTGCTTTGGACATCGAGAATGCCTTCAACTCCGCTAACTGGGGCTGTGTTATGCGGGCTCTAGAGGAAAAAACGTACCAGGATACCTTCGCTGAATAGTAGCGAGCTACTTCACGAATAAAGTCCTGAAATATGACACGAAGACCGGTACGGAAGTATACGAAATCTACGGAGGAGTGCTACAGGGATCAGTCTTAGGTCCTCTGCTATGGAACATCATGTATGATGGCCTTCTGAGAATAGCATTGCCCACGGGAGTCAAACTTGTAGCATATGCGGATGACGTAGCTGTCGTGATCGTCGCAAAGCACCTCGAAGAGATAGAAATGGCATTTGATATTACATTCAGACGAGTCAATTTGTGGATGGACATGATGAACTTGCAACTAGCCAAGCATAAAACCGAGGCAGTGCTCATTACTAGTAGAAAAACGGTAGAAACCATCAAGTTGAGAGTCGGAGAACAAGAAATAACATCACAACCATTTATCTGTTATCTGGGAGTGATGCTGGATGCTCGACTCAACTTCAAGCAGCAGGTGGAACACGTCAGTGCCAAAGCGTCAGTAGTGAGGGCTAGTCTCGCACGGCTGATGCCTAACATCGGAGGCCCAATGCAGAGCAGGAGGCTACTTTTATCATCAGTAGTCACATCAGTGCTCACTTACGGAATACCCATTTGGGCTGATGCACTGGAGACCCAAGAATCATGGAGAAAAGCTGGACCAGTATATCGATTGAGTGCCCTACGAGTAGCTAGTGCCTTCCGCACTATATCAGAAGAAGCAGTGTGCGTCATTACTGGAACCCTACCTCTTAGAGTTCTAGCAGAAGAAAGACGGGCCCTTTACCAACGAAAAAGGTCAACTGCACTGAGCCCTGAAGAATTTAGAATTGAAGAACGGCAGAATAGCATAGGCCGATGGCAATTACAATGGGATGCTGCAGAGAAGGGTAGGTGGACGCACCGTCTAATACCTCGGATCGACATTTGGCTTAACCGAAATCACGGCGAGGTCAATTAATATCTTACCCAGATGTTGTCAGGACACGGATGTTTTCGAAAGTATCTACACCGCTTTAAGCATGATGACTCTTCGGAGTGCCCGTCCTGCCCAGGAGTTGCTGAAGATGCGGAGCACGTCTTCTTTGTATGTCCTCGTTTTGATCCACAGCGTGACGAGTTGGAGAGGATCCTGAACCAGAAAATGCAACCAGATTCACTAGTGGGAGCAATGTTGTCATCAGAAGCTGCCTGGAACGCTACCAACACGTTTGCTACAAAAGTCCTCAAAGACTTGCGTTCCACCGAAAGAAGAAGAGCAAATAGCAGAAGATAGAAGGAAGGAAGTTAACACCTTAGCCACCAGAAGGAAGAGCAGTAGCTAGATCCTCCCTTCACGAAGTAATGCCTGACGGCGGTTTCCATGAGGGAATAGAGGAACGAAGGAAAAGGGGTATAGGGTTTAGTGGGTAGGGGCGTTAGCGTCGAGTTTTAGTATGACGCTGCGTCGAGTCGCCACATATCCAGGCTAAACATCTATGCCTAGAATCGGTAAAAAGGATTCCCCCCCTCAGAGAAAAAAAACACACACACACACACACACACACACACACACACACACACACACACACACACAGACGTACGGACATCATCGTGAAAATAGTCAGAAAAGCTTCTTAGGGCTTCAAAACGTCGAGATCTGTTGAAACCTTGATTTTTGGAAAACGAGGTAACACCAATAACTTCCCGATTTTTCGAAAATCTTCGATTTTCTTAGCGGGAAGTTAAAAATTATAATTTTTTTAAAATAATAATGAAGTTCAAAATTTCATAAAGGATATTTAAAAGAATGTTATAAAAAGTTAACAGTTACACTATTATCCTCTTCGGTTGAAATTGATGTGCTTACTGATCTTGCTAAACAACATCAGATTTTTATTTTAATAATAATGTATCGTCATATCACCAACAAATAAACAAAAACAAAGTATTTCTAATTTCCGGTTAAAAGTACATATAGTGTAATCTACTGTTCTTTACTAAATTTTTTGGAAATTTATTTTTGTTCATACCCATCTAGATCTGTCCAAATCAAATTTTATCTGCCCGGGTAAAAAAGATTATATATAATTATACATAATTATATATGAAAAATGGCCCTATATAATTATATAGAATCAGATATAATTAGATATAATTATATAGAATCATATATAATTATTTCTAGAAATAATAAAAAAAAATCCGGCGAGCGCGGGGATCGAACCGGGGACCTGACGCGGACCTGACGCTGTAAAGACTGACGCGCTACCTATTTGCCTACTTGAGACTTACTTGTACAGCAGAGTTTGAAGTAAGTACAACTAATGCAAATCGTAAACATAATCAATTTTTATAAGTTAACTAAATTAATGCAGTTCTTATTATTTCATTTACAAAAAATACTATAGATCAATAGATTATTAATGATTGAAGTAGCAGACTCTGAGATAAAAAAATTAAATACAATTATATATGATTCATATATAATTATATATGATTTCTGTATAGTTGCACTGATAGAAGGATTTGTTTATATTTAATAAGCTTTATTAACTAATAATAAATGATTTTCTAACATCATAGGATTTAATTAATATTTATTAACAGTTAATAAATTATTTATTGAATACGATTCATTTAATGTTAATAAATAATTGTTAACAGTTAACAAATATTTGTTAACTATTAATAAATACTTATTAACTATTAATAAATGTACTTTCCTCCCAAATAAATATTTATTGAATGTTAAAAAACATTTATTAAAATTTAATAAATTAAAAAATTGTCTTCAAACAAATTAAATTTCTAATAGTTAATAAATCCTTTTATTAGTTTACATATCATTATATATAATTTTATATAATCATATATAATTTCATATAATTATATATAATAATGTTTGTAACTTTTGTACAATTCTATAGAATTATATAAAATTAGATATGATTATATATAATTATATGTACAATTAATTTATCATGGAAGAAGAAATGACATTTTTATCTCGATTTTGATGAAATAATAAACGATATGAAACTTAAACATTAAATACATTAACCTACTTATGAATTAATAATATAGATACTTGGCTTAACCAAAATTTGCCTTACTCTCTTAAGTAATACGGATAATAAATAAACTTACGTGATCACTCCAATATTGCTCCTCGCTGTTAATAGTATTGTTAGTAATATTATACACATTGGGTCGTAATCCGGCGGCGACATTATTGACATTACCCACATCAAAATTAATTGCCGGTCCTAGATTTTGTATAGCCGGTGAACTCACAGCACTGAACGACGGAAAAGGTCGTCGATATTGGCCTCTATTTCCATAATAAGGCACCGGATTGCTCGGTTCATAATCTTGAGGGAATATTATTTGTAAATCGACACCCACAAAACAGAACAATAGTATCACCAGTGAATTTATTTTCATCATTTTTTAAGTCTAAATAAATTCATGAAAAAATAAAACAATAAAATTATTATTTAAGTACAATGCGTTTCATTGATTCTTTACGGTCGGAAATTTTACAGAAAATGGAAACATCAAATTTTGGAAATCTGTGAGTAAGGAAATCAATAAATGAAAAATATGGAAAAATAAGATTTCAGAAATAATGAAAAAATGATGTGTCTTATTGAGGATACTTTGCAATATCGATTAGTTAAAGAATAGCAATGAAAAAATGTAGTAATTAAAATAATTAGAATTATTTTAAAAAAGATAAGCGTAAAATTATAAAATAAAAAAAAAGATTTCCGTGAAATTAGACGCATCAGAATATAAATATCTAAAATGACTGATATTTAAAAAATAAGAAAAGAATAAATTCAGACAAGTCGAAAAAAAGACAATTATAAATTTAGAAATATAAAAAAATAGACAGTCATTAATATTCGTAAACTTAAAATATGGAAATCTGTTAATATAGACCAATAAATTTTGATATCTGTAATTATGGAAATCTGTAAATAACGGATAAATATAAATTCTGATAATTTATAAGAAAGACAATTGTAAACGTATAGTCATCATACGAATTGAGCGCGAAGGAATTTTAAATACAAAATATAACAGAGAGCTGCCACCAGCTCCTGTGACCGCTGCTCCAGGAAGTTGTGAAGTTGTCGGTGACTCTGTGTCCTGGATTTTTTAAAAATATAAAGATTTGTCTCCCGATACTGGTATTAAATACTTTCGGGGGCCGATAACTGCCATCAGTTCTTGTGACTGCTGCTCCAGGAACTATTGAAGTTGTCGACAACAGATTTCCCTATAATTTTTATAAAAAACCAAGATTTATGTTTAGATCTTTTTTCATAATCTTATCCAATTATTTTCTAATTCGTGAATGTTTTTGTTTCTAAATTTTTATCATTCATTTGTTTATTTAATTATAAACAAATAGTTGTGATATTTTTTATTGGTTATAATAATTTGTTATCCATAAGTCGATGGTGATGGATCGTAAGTCTAAATTTATTGGTGATAGAATGAGGATTTGATGCTTTCGGATTAAGCGCACCACCGCCCCGGGGCGCTATCGCTATTTAATTTTCGTCGCGAATTAAAATGAGATAGCGATAGCGCCCCGGAGCGCTGGTGCCAGTTAATCCGAACTTAACATAATGAAAAAAACGTATGAATATTTGAAAATTATAGAACAATATGTCCCAAAAGATTTCACAGCTTCAAATCTTTATATTTTTAAAAAATCCAGGACACAGAGTCACCGACAACTTCACAACTTCCTGGAGCAACGGTCACAGGAGCTGGTGGCAGTTATCGGCCCTTAAAAATATTTAATACCAGTATCGGGAAACAACTTTATATTTTTAAAAAATCCAAGACACAACGTCGCAAATAACTGCACAACTTCCTGGAGCAGCGGTCACAGGAGCTGGTAATTGTAGGGATATCTGTCGCCGACAACTTGACAACTTCCCGGAGCAGTGGTCACAGGAAAATATATCTCCTCTCTGTTATATTTTGTATTTTAAATTCCTTCGCGCTCAATTCGTATGACTATGTTTACAATTGTCTTTCTTATAAATTATCAGAATTTATATTTATCCGTAATTACAGATTTCCATAATTACAGATATCAACATTTATTGATCTATATTTACAGATTTCCATATTTTAAGTTTACGAATATTAATGACTGTCTATTTTTTTATTTTTCTAAATTTATAATTGTCTTTTTTTCGACTTGTCTGAATTTATTCTTTTCTTTTTTTTTAAATATCAGTCATTTTTGATGTTTATATTCTGATGCGTCTAATTTCACGGAAATCTTTTTTTTTGATTTTATAATTTGTAACGGGTAATTTTGAGGTGTTTAAAAATAATTAAACCAGTGAACTATCGATACTGCGACACAAACGCTTCCTTGCTCGAATCTGAAGCTCGCCGAAGTCCAGGGTCATAAAAGGGGCTGTCACCAAAATTACAAAAAAAATAACGAAGTAAAGCCAAAAACAAAACTTACTTAAATGTAAATAATAGATATATAACTAAATCTATAGAAATAAATCCGAAAAGTCAAACAGGTTATGTTAAAGACAAAATAAACAATTTATTTATCAAATCCAATTAAATAAATCAAATGAAAAAGATTACAAAATAAACAAAACACTCGTGATACAATTTTAGGTTATATTAAAACCCCAAAACTAGATCTAGATTAACAGATGTCGTTAATCAAAACGAAAATACAAAGAAAACGATTTCGCAAAATAATCTTACGTCGGTAGGCGCACGCGCACCTTTCGTCGGTAACAAAGATTCGATCAGAACTATCAAAACTGGTCTTCACAAAATAATACTTCTTACACACACACTCTCACTCGCCGTGAGCGTCAAAATCGCGAACTAAACTCCAAAGCTGGTACCCGGCTTCCCCAGGAGACTAGTCGTCACCCCTGGGCCTAACCTCTACCCCGAGAGCGAATGGAGAATGTCCTCTTCGCCCTCACCTACACGGCGTATGATCACCGACTGGAGTTTTGACGGAAGGTCAAAAATCCAGGGAAGTCAAATCTTGCTAAGAGTTCTAAAGGTACTTACCAATGTTCGAGGCGAACCAAGGTAATGTCTCTTCAGATGTTATTGCCAGAAGAATATTCACCACAATAACACTCCTTCACAAGACTTGCTTTTCCCGTAATAAAATTTTGGACTTTATCATTTTCCCAAAAACTCACTTACAACAAACCGGAATGATCGTTTTTGCCATCTATCCGACGTCATCGAACCAACATTTTAAAATAATTATTTATTATTTTAATCGCAATTTCGCTCATTCTCTATCCATTCGTCTCGCCAAATTCTAAGTTTTTATTTCCAAGTCCCAATTCTTTAAAATACTAATCGTCATTTCTCTCATTATATATCCATTCGTTTCGACAAATTCACAATTCTTTATTATTTTAAATGCAAATTCTTTCATTATATATCCATTCGTTGATTTCCCATACTAAAACTTGTCTGGGACTTAGAATAATTTCCCAGTCTTTAAAATTCTTTTACAACGATTTTCTTTTGCTTGCTAAACTTGCTCGGCTATAAAATAATTTCTCCCACTTTGATTAAATTTAATTAAGCCTTTGGTAACAATAATATAATATTATTAACTAAACAAAATACCACAATAAACATTTTCTTTCTTTAAAATTATTAATAATAATCAATATATAATATAAACAAAATAATGTATACTTTTAATTTGAACATTTAATTTGCAAAGAAAGAACATTTAAACAAAATAATCGTTTCTAATAATACTTGGATAATTAATCAACCTAGGTAGTGAGATCTTGGTCATAATTGAACGAAATATATACATAGTTTTATTAATACTCATTTTAAAGCAAATAATACTCGGTTTTACCGCAATAATAATAATAATAATGATTGGTAATAATACTGAACGCAATAAACAAAACTATATACAAAATTTAAACAATTTAAATGGACGAAAAGTCGGCCCGTTGCGTCGTTAGCTGCTGTCCTTCTCCTCCTTGTCCCATCTTCCAAGCCCTATTCTCCTTGCTGGCCCTGACCCAAAATCTGGGTCATAAATTTTACGCTTATCTTTTTTAAAATAATTCTAATTATTTTGATTACTACATTTTTTCATTGCTATTTTTTAACTAATCGATATTGCAAAGTATCCTCAATAAGACACATCATTTTTTTATTATTTCTGAAATCTTATTTTTCCATATTTTTCATTTATTGATTTCCTTACTCACAGATTTCCAAAATTTGATGTTTCCATTTTCGGTGAAATTTCCGACCGTAAAGAATCAATGAAACGCATTGTAATTGTATATGATAATATATAATTATTAAAAAATGCTGCATCTAATTATATATAATCATATATAAGTACATGCAATTATATATAATTATATGTAATTATATATGATTATATATAATTATTAAAAAATACTGCATCCAATTATATATTATTATATATAATTACATATAATCATATATAATTATATGTAAGTAATATATAATTATATATAAGTAATATATAATAACATATAACTATATATAATTATATATAAATTTTTTTACCCGGGTGAACAGATCTAAACAAAATGTAGACCTGCCCATAACTGATAAATTTCTGATTTGATCTGAGCATATCTAAACTTCTTTTCTCGGGTGTCCACCGTATTTTTTCGTAGTTTTACTGTATTTATACTGCAAATTAAAGTACTTTACTGTAACTCTACCGTAATCCGGATCTGCCGAGGATTTCTCCATCTCTGATTCTCGTGTTAAAGTTATTTTGCATATCCTGATTAAGAAATCTAATTTGAAATGATTCATTTTGTTATACTCGCTCCAGAAGTTTAACTTCTGAGCGCTGGGTAGCGTCCGTAAAGGGACTCTTTTCTAGAGACTCTACCATACCGTCTTTTTTTCACGGCCTAGGCCGTGAAGTTTTACCCCCTCCTTTTTTTTATGAACTTTTCATGTACACCCAGACGAAATTGAGAGACATTGTAAAAAAAAAGTCACATTCTAGCGTACCGACCGATAATTTTTAGTCTTAGTTACTATTAAGTGGCGCTAATTATTTCTCTGCTGGCAGTTTATTACGAAGCGGACCTAATGTTAATAAAATAACAACAACGCCATAAATAAATACTAATAAAAAATTATTTACATTTTCTGGACGTGAGCAAGATTTTAAGATTAATAAAAAGATAATTAATATAAAATTAATTTTTTTTGACCTTGTGAAACTTCCTAAAATTTAAATATGTCATTATTTACCTCCTATCCCTCAAAAGTTAAACTTATGGAGCGATAATAACAAAAAATATTGTATGTCATTCGGCCGTTTAGTGGCGATTTTGACAACGACTTTTTTTCGATATGCGCTTTAATGTTTGTGACGCGAATGTTCGAAAACGAGCGTAAATTTCCGTCCTCGGCTACGCCTCGGACGTTAAAATTACGCCCGTTTCGAACCTTCCCGCCACAAACCTTAAGCTCATATCGAAATATCGTCGCTGTCAGAAAACCGCCACTTCACGGCCTTATGACATAAATATCTATTTCATGCAAAGTATATCTATATATTAGTCAACTCAAATCATTTTGAATTGTTTCAAATTTTTTTTAATTATCTCAAATAGATTTCTTAATCAGGCCGTCTGTCAGAATCTTGTAAAAAAATACGTCATTCCTAGTATAGTGTTTTGTGCAGACACTTACAAGAGATACTGTTATCTGGGAATTCAAACTTCTTAGTTTGTTGAAGATTCTAATTGATGTTGCGCCTAATAATTTTTTAGATTAAGACGCTTTATGCAATTGTGATAAAACTTTAATAATTGTGGCTAATTGTTGAAATCTTTATAGGATCCATCTAATTGAACGTTCCATTGGAAAGTCTGGCGCTTTTGGGATAACTCATACTACGAGTTTAGGATTAATGGCATCTGCGCATCATGCTGCTCTCGATGCTAATAGCCCTACTGATGTTTTTGAAGTAAATATACACCATATAAAAAAAAAAAAAATTTTTATTCAAAATTAAGAAAACTAAACAAATTTGGATTTTTTATTTTAGACACTTATGAAATCCGATGCTTTGAATTCCAAACACTCAATGTCTGATTTAATGTCAATGACATATGCAGAAAAATCAGCGCTTTGGGCATACTATGGAAAAGCCAAAATGTCAACAATTTGTGCACAATTATTATTACTTCATAATTCACAAAATAATAAACAAAATTTATTTAATGGTGAATCAACTTGTCAAGAAGTCACTAATATTATTAATGCTTTAGTTGAAAATGGTGAATATAAGCTGGTGGATGTAGTATTAAATCATGCTAAAGAACGATTTAACAATTTAATAAGTAATAAGGTAAATTAAATAATTATTGATAAGCTTCAAATATGACGCAATTAGAATTCTCATTTTGTCGAAATTTTTTGTAAATTTCTTAGTGACGGTAATAATGATCCTAATTCAGTTGAGTTATCCACTTAATCTTTGCATGTTTTCATTTCATTTTACATTCGTCGTAATAAATGCTTGTTCTTGAACCAAGAATACAAAATTCCTTAAAGAAAACAAAATTATTTTTAGTTAAAGAGAATTGTGTTTTTTAACCCTTTAGAGTCTGACCTTGAAACCCTACTCTTGGGTCTTACTATGGATTTGCGCTCTCCCCACTACTCTCGCGCGAAGACGTTTCAAGATCCTCTGACTCTAAAGGGTTAATGAAGAATTTGATTTTATCTCGCAAAGATAATGCTCTCGTAATTGAAGATATCAAATTTCTCTTTGCTAAGAAGAGTTTCCAGACAAGACATTCTTGAATCAAGATGACCGATTCTCTTTTAAATGGTTTTTTTCAATCAAAAATATTTCTCTTGGATCGAGAAGTTTTTTTTTCAGTGTACATAAGTCTGCTTAAGCCTCTTGTTATGATACCTTAATTGTAGCTAGAACAACGAGTAAGGTCCAAATGGCTAAGACTTCGAGGTGGTTATCGTTAGATAATCACACGCAGTAGATCGTTGGATTTTTGGTTCAAGACTGTCGTTGTCTCTTTATAAATTATCAAACTATTTTTATAAATTATTAAACATATTTGATACATTAATGAAATTTTTGACTTAATATCACAGAACTTTCAGTTCTGAAAAAATATGTTGTAGTTTTTTACTTTTTATTGTTTTTTATTTTTTATAGTTTTTTAACATTTTTTATTTTTCTTACTCATAAAATTTAAGTTGTAAATTTATTATAGGTAATTATTTACCAGTGGGGTCAACCCCATTTTGCCTTATCTGTGGCCATGGAAATTTTTTTTCTTTATACCTTAGTCGAAAGTACGCACTTCCCTCTCCAATTTTGACGAATAAAGTCTTATTTCCCTCCCCTAGTGGGATTACACGCGCCTCACTTCTGTTGCCGGGAGCAAAAAATTTTTTCGTATCTACAGAAATAGCCGGCTGCTGCCATCTAGTGATCGCCTACCACTTTATCAATAAAAATTTATACGATAACCTCGTAGATCGTTGCTTTATATACATATACGTCAGTATTTTTGTGTTTCATTGCATGTAATATTTTAATTAAACAGTGTACTTACAATTAATAATAAGATGAATGAAAAAGTTTCATCGGATGAATTTTGTTGTGTCCAGGATTGTATAGTCATATAATAAAATTGGTTTTTTTTATTGAAATTTATTGTCATTGCAATGGTGTTGACTTGAATTGGTGTCTTTTCAAGGTTCCATATCATTCTCACCGATATTTAATTTATTATGATAAGTATTGAGGCTGCATTCGAAAATTGTCTATCTTTAGATACATAATTAAGAAATGACCTTGTATCTTGTGAACTATTGACATTTTTAAAGATGTAAGCTCACCCCGACCTTACACTTATGGAAAACTTTCATTTGAGTACCCACAACAATTTTTTCATATATTTACATATATTACACATATATGTATATATGAAAAATATATCAAAATGCATTTCATAGGCGTAAATTTATTTATTTCGAAAAAAGATAATTATTAATTATTTTTTGTAAATATAATTGTCTTTTTTTTTTTGTTTTGTTTTTGATGCCTGCCCCCGCTGATCTGACGCACTCGCTTCGCTCGTGCTTTCAAATGTCGCGGGGCAGGCATCAAGAACGCAACAAAAAAAAATTTAAGTTTTATGTAAGTCCGAAAGAGGCGCATCGATAGGGAGCAAATGAAAAAAACATGGCCGATCTGTCAGCTGAAGGCAGAACGTGGTTGTATTGTTTATAGTATTTAAAAATGTAATTAATAAACGTACTTTCGACTAGGTATAAAGAAATAATATATTACACACCTAGGGAAGTAAAGTAAGAAATGTCTCAGAGCACATGTTATTGTTGGCTGAGGCGAAACCGAGGTCAACAAACATGTGATCTGAGGCTTTCTTATTTACTTCTTGTGGAGTGTATACTATTTTTTTGCTCGACGAAGACAGAAAGGGGCAACCCTGAATAAAAAAAAGTATTGAGACAAAGAAAAAAGTATTGAAAAGTATTGGATTGACTAGAAAACCAATACTTTTCAATACTTTTTTCTTTGTCTCAATACTTTTTTTTTTATCAGGGAACTTCGTTTAGCGCAGCGGGCTGAAAGTTGACACTTTCTGTCCGTCGAGCAAAAAAATCGTATACACCACACGGGAAGATAATTGAAAGCCCTGCCCTGTGTGCTCGGCTTCGCCTCGGGCATCTTATCACACAGGGCAGGAATTTCAACTTTCTTCCCTTGTAGTGTAATATACTATTTTTTTTATGATCAAATTGATCAATTTTGTTTTAAATTGTTCTTTTTTTATGTATTTTTCAAAAAAAGATAGAATAGAAATTTTATCCAAAAACATGAAAGCCAATATTTTTTCCAACTTTTAAAGGCAAAAAAGCTATCGAAATCTTTATTTTCTCCTTTCACGTCATTATTTATCATAAGTGCGCCATAAAAACAAGCTGAATAAAAAAAAAAGTTTTTAAATGTTAATTTTTCACCTAGTTATGGCCCAAAATGGGGTTGACCCCACTTGTAAATAATTACCAAAGTTTAATTTTATACTGTCATCTGTTAAAGATATGGATCTCAAGTGAACGATTATTTGAATTTATGAAGATAATGAGACATGAAAGATGGAGTGAAGCGGAAAATATAGCGAACCAAATATCAAGCTTATTACCATTTGAAAGTAAATTACGCTTCGCAGAAATTACAATTGCTACAGGTGATTATGTAGCTGGATTAAAACTTTTGAGTAATACTGAAGAAAATACAATCCTAACCGCCAGTAATCGTATACAATTGATGATTGTTTTGAGTAAAATATTAAACTTATCAGCAGTTTCTGACCAAAAGTTTACCAGCGTCAATACTTTTGTATTATTGAATTCAGCTTTAAAAATAGCTCGAACATATCATTTATCTTATTACGAAGCTGTAATTAAAATGAATCTCGCAACACTCCAGGTAGGATGAAATTTTTATTTTTAATCTTATACTCTGTTGGCAGCTTTAAATAATAGCTAAAATTGATCATTTTTTTTTTCTATTTTCTGTCTCAAAAAAGTATATTTTTTTGTTTTTATAGTTGATGATTGGGATGCCAAATCAAGCACTAGTTTTAATTAATGAAGCCATGGAACAAATTTTAGCTCACGGTAGTTGTTTTGATCGAGGATGGGCATTCACATTAAATGCTCAATGTCTAGTAGCGACAGCTCCACTTGATTCAAAAAAACGTAAATTAATCTTGCAAGATGCGATTGAATATCTTCTGAAAGCTAAAAGCTATTTTCAGAAAATTGAAGCTTTTAGTAGAATTAAAAGTACTACGTATTTTCTTTCTCTGATTTATAACGAGCTGGGTATGAAGACTAAACGAAATCAATTTGCTTTTGAATATCGACAAAATAATGGAGAAAATGTTATAAAATCAAAAATTGTGACATTGTTCTAAATAAATATTTTCAATACATTTTTAATTTTGTCTTCGACGAATTTATATTAATTATAACCTTATATCATTCGTATAAATTTTTCATCCATGTTTTTTTGAAACGAATTAAGTTACATTAATATTTACTATTTAAAGATTTAAAGTATTTAGAGTAACATATTCGAAGAAAGTTTCACTTGTCATCGAACCATTTTGAGACCTTCCAATAGTCCATATATCTGAAATATTTGTAGTTATCGAAGCAGCAAGACGCCTATAATTGAAAACAACTATAAGAAGATGCTATTTGCTCTGCTGTGTTAGCAACAAATATTACGGTTAATGATTCTTTGTCATTGTTATGATACGCATTCTTGTGACCTTTTCGTCCCTTCTTCGACGAGAAATTCCTTATTTACGACACGACACTTATGCGTGGTATAAATTACTGCTAGAGTCCCCCAAGGCTCAGTATCGGGTCCAAACTTATGGAATGCGCGCTACGATGGACTCCTGAGATTCAAAATGCCAGAAGAAACCTACCTCGTTGGCTTTGCAGATGATGTCGCTGCAGCGGTGATAGCAAGAAACGTTGAGCAAGCTAGATGTTGGATAAAAACCATTATGGCACGGGTCAGCGACTGGTGAAGAAGTTACAAATTTGAAATGGCTGCCGAGAAAACAGAGATACGGGTTCCATGCGCATACCACACTGTCTCAGAAGCGGTTGTTCTAGTAATTACAGGCGTACCACCAATAGACTTGCTAGCCAGAGAGAGAGAGAAAAAAAATCTTTGAACAAAGAAATGGCACAGACTCGACCAGGGAAGTCAAAGTAAGATAAAGATTGCGTATCCTCGAAATGTGGTCCAACAGATGAAGTAACGAAACTTCTGAAAGATGGACAGCAAGATTAATGCCCTCTATCAACTTATGGATTGATAGAAAACACGGCGGGACAAACTTCTTTCTAACTCAATTGCTCTGAGGGCATGGATGTTTCAACGCCTATCTTCACAAGATGGGAATCGTGAGCACACCTAAGTGTGACTACTGCAGCTATGCAAGTGAAACTGTGGAACACGTTTTCTTTAACTGTCCCCTGTCACGAGCGTAGGTTGGAGACGGTTTATTATTTAGTTAAATAATAGATTAATTTCACTTTGATAAAGAGATTATTTCCTTGACGACCAGATGATTTTACGCTTATTTATTAAGTGTATTCCAAATTCCTAAGCTATGAAATAACTTATTGATTGCACCTTTTTCTGGTACAAGTACTTAATCTTTACCTATTCTAATGATATCGAGCGGCTTATACCATAGAACTCCTTTGTGACCGCGTGGCTGGGGTCAAGGGTAGTAAATAAACTAACGGAAAACGAGAGAAAGGTGGGTTTGGTGGATTATAAGTACTCGGGAATACCTCGTTCCGAATAACAACTCTGATTATTTAAATTTTATAGTTTTAAATATCATTTTCGGATATAATTTGTAATGAGAGTATTACGCTCTCGTCCAATTGGTCACCCCTTTCCTCTCGAAAAGGGTGCCACTAGGATTTTGGACACGGTATCCCAAGAACCGGGGAAGCATGAGAGAGGAAAGACAAGGTCGTGAAAAGTTCAGGCGACTATCCCTGATTCAGAAAGATGATTGGGAATGATTACACAGGTCCACAAAAAAAAAAGTGGTCTGTGCTGGGTGTGCGACATATATTTTCCGACGTATTTTTTACCGTTGAACACGAATCTGAAGTCAAACTGCGAAAAAACAGAGAAAAATAAAAAAAAAACCGATAAAATCTCCGATCTAATAATTTTTTCTGCATGATAATTAAAATCTTATAATTTCTGTCGTTTCCCGGCTCTTTTCTCCTCAAATGACCTGTGCAACGGATTTCTGCTACGCTTTTTTCCTCTCTGTTGAGTTTCTCTTTGTAGCATCCAGCAGTAATCTGCAAACATATTTACTCCCCACTGCCCCTGAAATCGCCGTTCAAATTCCTTGAGATCTTGATGAAATCTCTCTCCTTGCTCTTCACTAAAGTCTCCGTTGTTCTCCGGAAAGTAGTTGAGATGCGAATCAAGAAAGTGAAGTTTCAAATTCATTAGGCAACCTGAACGCTGAAAATTTGTGATCATATTGGCCACAATAATCAGCATCTTTGGTGTTACCTAAAAACTTGGTACACACTTCCTTGAAACTTAGCTATGATGCCTTTTCTTGTTCATCCACCACTGAAACAAATGTTTCATTTTTTAATAACGTCCGGATTTCCGATCCATCAAAGATGCCTTCTCTCAATTTCACATCTGATTTGTGCTTAAACACTTTACGCAGGTATGTAAAGCACTCTCCTTCTTTATCAAGAGCTTTCACAAATTGTTTTATTAACTCAAGTTTAATATGAAGAGGAGGAATGAGAATTTTAGCTGGATCAACAAGCGGTTTTCTTATTATATTATGTGATCCAACCCTAAATGAAGATCTCGAAGGCCAAACTTTTTTAACGTAGTGATTTTTGCGATCTCTACTGTCAAACATACACAAATAGCATGGATACTTCGTGAATCCAGATTGTTGTCCCAGGATCATGGACAAAATCTTCAAATCACCACATACTTGCCATTTATATTCTTCATACTCAATTTTTTCCAGGACAGTTTCTAGATTTGTGTACTCTTCTTTAAGTACAGTTGAGTGAGCTAAAGGTAAAGGAGCAAATTTGTTGGTGTTGTGAAGAAGAACTGTGTAACAAAACTGTCCCCGAAAATTTAAATAAATTTCCACCGGAGGTGGAGATACCGGCTGGGTAAAGTTCTTACGCTCGCCCTTTTTGAATAATAATAAAATGAACCTGAAACTCCTCAGGCTGGGTTGGTGCACGAAAAGGACGCCAGGTAATTTTATCTAAAAATTACCAAAATTAATAAAAATGCCAGGGGCCTCGCCGGACGATCAATTAACGATCTAAATTAATGCGAATGGAAAATAAATCACGAAACACTTACAGTCAGGATTAATATATAATTTATAATCAGAAATAATAAGTACCTAATTATAAATAGTACCTCAAATTATTTAATTAAATAGGAATGTAAATTGCAGGAAAAGATTCCGGGAATTAA